AAGAAAATAATCTGTGCTTGTTAAATTCACCCTGGTGAGTTGCTGCTGGAACAGATATTGGCAATGATGAGAAGTTGCATTTTGTAATTTGAGTCTCTACCAGGAATGATGCAAGTTTAGTTTTTAATGGCAGCTCCCTAAATTTACTAAACAACCTTCAGAAGGCACCACCTATGATTATATATACACTATGTTACCATGCTATTCAGGAAGAAAATGGCAATCCAACGGGTATATGGGTCTGTTATTCAGTTTGTGCTTTTTGATTTTTGGTGTAATCCAAATATTTAAATACCTAGAAAAGAAATAGTAAAGCCAAGAAGAGATAGCATGGGTTATATTCAACAGACAATTCAAACTGGCATTTCTTGCATTTAAATCTTCCCATTTACAGCATCTACTATAACCTCCCCTTAGAAGGAAAAGCCTGGAACATAATAGCAGCAGCCGGAGATTAGAAGAGGTTGCCATAAACACATTCAAGAGTTATTTATACATTGTAATTTTTGAAGATATTTTGTTGTAAGCCAATGATGTAAATATAAGTTAGATATAATGAACAACCCACTGATTTCTATGAGACTACTTTGAGTATGACTTCATTGTTTGTTTGTTATGGGTTGACTCCAGAGTTTGACCCTTTATGTTCCTGCAGCAGAAAAGTAGTGAGGATGACATGCTAGTACTTGGCCCATACCAGTGATGAGGATGTTCTATGCCGTATTTGGCAGCAGGCCCACTGAATGGTAGGTAGATCCCAGCTTACAGCCAAAAGTGGCATACCTATACCCTTCTCCCAAAGATCTGGTCCAACCTTATGCACAATGTGACATCAATGTGACATCATGCTGTAAGTTTCCTTGCCCCTGCTAGTGGGAGCCAGAGAAATGGAATAGGGCAGGCTTCCTCAACCTCTGCCCCCAGATGTTTTTGGCCTACAACTCCCATGATCCCTAGCTAGCAGGACAAGGGGTCAGGGATGATGGGAATTATAGTCTCAAAATATCTGGAGGGCTGAGTTTGAGGAAGCCTGGAATAGGGTCTGGGTGAACCCCACAATTTAATGGGATCTCATTACACAGGGAATTTCTTTTCTTTTTTCATTAGGTGAACAAGAACTAGGCACAGGTATAGCTATCCCCCTGGTGTGTAATTCTACCCCGAGAAAGGGATCTGCAGCCAATCCTGCCTCACTGACACATGGCCATGATTTGTGTTTCCCAAACACATTTGTCTCATTTGTACTATATTTTTAGATGCGCACTTAAAGCTTAGGTGTGTACCTAAAAATGTAATGTCTGAATCAGTGTTAGTTTGCACTGCTTCAGTGACTGGCACAGCATTACTCCTTTGCAAGTCTCACATTCATAGGATCAAGCTGTCAGTCCGAGTCAAAATAATGGGACAATGTGAACTGCGGCTTTGGGAATGTGGCGCAAGCTGGCTTGAATACATCTAAGTGCTCCTATTTGTTTTTTAAACTGCAGACTTAAAGGATGTTATTCTGATCTATACTTTTGGGGTGCTTGGCAACAATGCAGATTGACAACAATCATTCATGATACTTTCCTCATCAATCATTTCCCTCTTTGCTATCATTTTGCTATTGCTAGCCTTTTTCAACGCAATCCCTTTTTGTTCTTGCATTCCTCTTCCCCATAACACCTCTTTGATAACAAAACTTCCCCCCAGCTTTGTTACTTCTTTATGTCCAGCTGCAGTTGATGTGCTTTGAATACTGCCTTTGTTTTTAAGCCTGAGTTACACACAAAGGGCCAAGCAGGGGGTGCTGTCTTTCTGCTGTCATTTGATGGAAATTCAGTTTGCTTGCCAGCCTAGTAATTCTTTTTCTTTAAAAGGACACTTCTGCTTGGTTTCAACTGCAAGGCTATGTACTTTGTAGGACAAAGTGAACTGTATTTAGCTGTGCCTCACATGGAAAAGAAATTATGAGCTTTAAGAGGAAAAGAGAAATAAATGTGTTTCGAAACAATAGTAGTGACGCATAAAACATGATTAGAAGTTGCTACTTTGGCTAACAATCGCAGAGCAGCTCCCTCACAACTGAATGTTCAAATGACTCAGCTAGGAGGGCAGTGTTTGATTCCAAGAGTTTTTCAGACATAAATGGAAACCGTGAAGGATGCCAGTTATATGATAAACGTAAAGGTAAAGGGACCCCTAACAATTAAGTCCAGTCGCGAAAGACTCTGGGGTTGTGGCGCTCATCTCGCTTTACAGGCCGAGGGAGCAGGCATTTGTCCACTTCCGCAGACAGTTTTTCCAGGTCATGTGGCCAGCATGACTAAGCCACTTCTGGCAAAACCAGAGCAGCACACCAAAACGCCATTTACCTTCCCGCCAGAGTGGTACCTATTTATCTACTTGCACTGCATGCTTTTGAACTGCTAGGTAGGCAGGAGCTGGGACCAAACAACGGGAGCTTACCCGGTTGTGGGGATTCGAACTGCTGACCTTCTGATCGGCAAGCCCAAGAGGCTCAGTGTTTAGACCACAGCACCACCCACATCCCAGTTATATGATAAAGATCCATGCAACTGGGTTCTCATGCTGTTAGTTTTTTCAAACATTCTTCTGTTTGCAAATCAGTGACTCTCATGCAACTGGAAGAACATCTATTAGTATCTGGCTGGTGGTAGAGATCACAGCTTCTGCAGCATCTGACCTGCCAGTTGACCAGCATCCTAAACTCCTACCTCTTTCTCCCTCACCGCTTGCAATTCTAGGCTGCGATTCTGCGACCTCTTCTTCAGCAGAGGCTCAAAAGAATTTCTATGGTCAGTTTACCAACACACCTACTTCACAAGTCGGGGCAGCTCAGCCATTGCAAATTGTTACAGATAGGCAGAGAAAGGCATTCAGCAATGCATAATGCCGTGTTTCCCATGTTAGCGACAGCTGTGGGTGTCTAAGCGTGAATCCTGACCGAAAAGAGGTAAGCCTAGGCTGGCGACTCATGTAGAGACGCAATACTGAAGCCAGTTTGTGGTCCAGCTTTATCTCCAACTTAAACAACCCAATAGCATGCCAAAACCACTGGATCCCAGCAGAGGTTGAAGGTCCAGAACAGTGACTCATGAAGAGAAGCACAGGGCAGCCTCTTCTGTGGAGAAGAGCAAGTGTCTTGCATCACGCCGTTCTCTTTTTCTTCAAGCACCCAATTTGAGAATTACAAGCGGAGCATCTCTCTTGAGGGAGATGCGCTGAGCCGGATGAGAACAGGATTGGCACAGAAAGGCCCTTGAGAGATACGTCTTTTGGACGTAATAGCTCTTTCTTTTGGGGGGTCTTTAGAGGTGCTTCTTTGTGTTTGGGTCAATGACTTGAGGCAGCCCTCAAGAACCGTCCCCATTTTCAACCATGGAAGGTCAGAAGAGAACAGCTCTCTCCAAGAAGACCCTCTTTTCCAGGGCTAGTCCCAGATTTAGAGAAGCCGTCCCGGTTTCTGATTTGATCCCGGAATGTCCCGCTTTTCCTTAGGACGCCCCTATTTTCATTGGAGAAATGTTGGAGGGGATAGCAGTTATCTGGCCCCCCAAGCCAAAGAGATAATTAACTATACAGCCTTTAGAAGACACGGGAAGGCAGGCCTGTATAGGGAAATTGTTTAATGTTTATTATGTTGGAAGCTGCTCAGAGTGGCTGGGGCAACCCAGTCAGATGGGCAGGGTAATAGAATAATAATAATTATGATTTTTATTAGGGTGCCAAACTGGTTCTTTGACCCAAGTGAAACAAAGTCTGTTTTTACTATTAAGGAATAAGATGTCCCTGTTTTCATAAAAGGGAACGCAACAAGCCCCCTAGGGGGTTGCTACAAGTCCTGAATTTTCTGGACACGTCAGGGATTTAACTGGCGTCTGGGGGAACTTTTGGAAAATAGGCAACGGTGTCCGGGATGTTGAGGTCCCTGTGGAGATGGTAGTATTGAGTCAGTGGCTCGTCTCCTTCTAGCTTGCACTCTATTTATAAAGCTCTGAGGAGTGAGGTTATTACCCCTTTATTATTGCCCATGCTGGGGGTGCTCAACCATTGCTGCTGTGTCCTTTCTTTTAGCAAGATGATCAGGTGACAGCAAAAACTGCAAGGTTTTTTAATGGGGGGGGGGTGATGAGAATAAGATCTATATTTGATTATGGTTGTAAACCCCTAACATATATTTTCTTTAATTATGTTTTTAACCTCTATTTTCAGTACATTTTTATTTTATTCCTATGGCTAGTGGCTGATGCAAATAAAGATTCTTCTGATTATACACTGGTACTGGTTTGAATTAACTAAATACTGCTTTTTGTTTGATAGGTAGTTTGTTTTGTTAATTTTTCGGTTTCATTGTCCATTTTTCTTCTCTCTTTTTATTTCTTTTATATAATTCACATTTATTCTAGATGCTTGACAACTTGATTATGTATACTGTAATAACTACGTAAGATTAGTTTGTGGGGTTTTTTGTTTTGTTTTTTGTATGTAATGTTTGTTTAATAACAGGGTTTTTAAAAAAAGATTCTTTTGATTCTGATGTTGAGGTCGATTGCCTAAAAAAAAAGAAGATGATGATGAACGACTTTAGAGTTTCCTTTAAAAAGAGAGAAAGAGCTCGCCAAGTTTGGAGTCCTGAGTTTTATTTCTAGAAAAATGGATGAAAATAAACTCAGGCATCCAGAGGACTCCTCCTTCCCTTTCTGAGGAGGATTCCCCTTTGAGAGGAGAGGCAGCCGCTGCCCTGACTCATCCTCGCCCCCGCTTCTAAACCGCGTTCAAATCGAACCACCCTCCTTTTTACCTCACCGCCCGCCGCCTCCCTTTTCCCGCCCACCGCGCGCGCGCTCCCCGCCAACCGCCCATTGTTCTCCCGCCGCTTCCCTCCCCCTCCCACCCACTTCTTCCTTCCCAACCAATCGGCGTCTCCGGCGGTCGGGCGTGGGCGGGGCTTCCCGACCTGGCCTCGGCACCCGACAGAACTGACAACCGGCGCGCGCGGGGGGAGGGGGGCGGGTCCGAGCCGAGGGCCGGAGCGCGCGGCGCGAGAGCCGACGGCGCCGCTTTAAAAAGCGGGAGCCCCGCCGCCGGCCGGCTTCTTCTCTCGACTCCGCGCGCGACCCCAAGGCAACGGCAGCAGCAGCGGCAGCAGCAATAGCCCTGGGCCTGGCTTCGCCTCGCCTCGCCTCCTCCAGCTACCTCCGCTCGGGGCTGGCAAGCCAATGAGGGCCCGGACTCCGGCCCTCGCCGCCTCAGGAGCCGCCGGGAGCCCCCCGTGCCGACCCCCAGCTCGCCTGGCTCGACGTGAGGCGGCTGCGCTGGACCCCCATGCGGCGCCTCCAGGAGAAATTCAGGAGGTGAGGCGCGCGCGCGCGCGCCTGGGCGTATGTGTGCGAGCGACAGATTTCATTTCTCGGGATATATATTCAGGGTTCTCTTCCCGGGATGATATTTTTCTCCGCTTAGGGACGAGGCGGATTCTTCTAGTGGATTTCCCTCCGAAGCCTTTGATCTCGCCCGCGGAAACTCCGCCCGCTCTTGGGGATCCCCTCCCCCCCCCACCTGCGATCGTCTCCTCCCGTTTGCACGGGCATCCAGATCACTTAATGCAGATAAGATACCCCCCACACCCACACACACACTTTTAACATGGGGTGTTAAACCCACCTTCCTTGTCTCTAGTCGCAGCCTTTCTCAACCTGTGGGTCCCCAGATGTTGTTGAACTACAACTCCCATCACTCCTAGCTAGCAAGGCCAGAGCTCAGGGATGGTGGGAGTTGTAGTCCAACAACATCTGGGGACCCACAGGTTAAGAACCGCTGTGTGCTAGGCATGACCAAGCTTGGCCCTCCAGATGTTTCGGGACGACAACTCCCATGCCTAGCTAACAGGACCAGTGGTCAGGGATGATGGGAATTGTAGTCCCAAAACATCTGGAGGGCCAAGTTTGGCCATGCCTGCCAGTCTAGTCTATTGAACCCTCTTCTCCTGCACACCCGCCCCCCCCAGTTTCTCACCTTTTCCGTGCATGCATGTGGAGAGACTGCCCTGGTGCTTTTGCAGAACCCCAAAATGCTGTCGCCTAGGTTAGTTTATCCCTTACAAGGGTGCAAACTTGAATAAAATATTGGGGCTGGGGAGGGAGGGGCAGGTAAGCGTCACATAATTGCATGATACACCATTTGAATGGCAATGGCAACTTTTTTGGGGGCGGCCCCCCTCAAATATTTTATGGGGGGCAAAGGGACCTTGGCATCTAGAAGTTGGCTCCTATGTCCCTTAGCCTGTTGTGATACTATCACAGATCTTAATTGCACACAGGGTAGACCTTGCCTAAACAAAGCAAAGTGTGGTTGTGGAGAGATTGCAACAACAGAATTGAGTGGTGGTAAATATTATGAATGAGTTAAAACTGAGGGAGTGCTGTGAATGAAGTAATGTGTGTATGTGGCACCAGAGGAGGTGCTAGAAGTAGTTTCCTTTGGTTGATGTGAAGTAAAAGGGTGTAGCATGCAATCCTTTGTTTCCTATTTCTTTGACTCGTTTGCTTGGACACCCATGAGGGCCTTGGCTTATTCTCAAGAAATCAGTAGGAAGTTCTGTAGTTGATACAGATTTGATATTTCTTGTCTTGGAAAGTGCTTTGGTCTCCATCTATATAACATTCTCATAGCAGTCTTTGTGCAAAAGAGCAGCTGAGTAGGACTGTCTGAGTACAAACAGGTTTAGGATTATGTGTGCTGTGTGAAAATCAATAGTGAGAGAGAGCACTGGAATTGGATAATTCAAATACGACTTCTCCAAGATGGTGTGGAAAGGGTTGCATGTTTTGCAGGAACTGTAGAGCTGTTCTTTGCAAAATGAGCTGCTTTTCATTTAAATTTTCCTTAAGAGAGATCTTAATGTAGTTTATAATGTAGTGAATTTTCTGTTTCATTTTGCATCTCCTTCATGTTCCTGTTGTACCTTCATTGATGGGGTACAGATCCTTTTAACTCTCCCAGGGCTCTTCCCCATATTGCACTGTTCAGAAAGTCACACTTAAAATCACATTCTTAAAGTGGGGATGCTCTGACAAAATTCTTTTATTTTCTAGAGGTGGGGAAAATCTCACATATTTACTTGCAAAAGCCAGTGGAATTTGATTGTGCATTCCTGCACTGTAGTAACATGCATTGTTCTTGTATGAGCAAAGCAGGAAGGTTGTTTTCATGCATCTGACCAGAAAGAAGTCACCTCCAAGATTAATCCCTTGAAGCAACAACACATTTACCCCAGATAAAACACTTGACTTGACCTATTGGGTCATATTCAACTAATGTTTGCTCAGAGTAGTCTTATAGTACTGTACCACCTTTACTGCCATTCTTCCTGAGAATGTTAGCACTGATCTTAGGGAGGCAAGTGTTCCTGGCCCAAGGCTGGGTATGAAAGGCATCTGAAATTCAACCCCCTGCACTAATTTCATGCTCTTGCTTCTCTCCAATTCTTCCCATGATTCTGTATTTTCCTGTTCATCTGTGGTTTTCGCGACACCCCCTACCGCTTTACCATAAGGGTAAAGCAAATAGAGTTAAGATAAACTTTTTGAGAATAAGAGCTGGGGTTCTGGGATTTTCAGAGAATGTGGGTATCCAGTACTGCACATTGCTGTTGTTTACTGGGCTCTTAAAACTTTATATGCAAGTCGAAGTCTTTGTTTGCACAATTTTCTCTCTTCGAAAGGTGGGTAGGAATTTGATGACTGAGAGAAGAGGTGAGTACAGTATACTGCTCTGCTTTTAGAAAGAAAATAGATCACAGTGAAAGATGAGGTTTTTCCATCTTCTGGAAGTGGGTGAAAGTTCATATATCCGGTGTTTGTCATACTCATGTTGGTTGAACTAAGCTTCTCTTTCACGTATGGCTGTTAGAGAGGATTTTCAGCATTTTTCTCCTCTGTTTTGAGTGATTTGACTCTGCAGTGAAACAGGATTCATCTGTTTGTTTTGGCTATGTTACAGTCTAGAACTGGGAAAGAGGGGCAGCAAAGAATGTAAAAACAATTTGGAAATCATTAAAAAGGGGCAGAAATAGATTCTTGCTTAAATTAGGTCATTTCTGTCCAGCAATGTGTTGTTTCAGAAATGGAATTAAGATATTAGTAGGAATGTTTGTATTGCATAAAGAGGCTAATATCTGGAATTTAGATGTTTATGATATTTATCTTTTCCATTTGTACAGTATTGCTACTTCACTGCTTGCGAAATACATCTATTTGTGTATATTTTTTTAAAGAAATCGAAATAGAAGCATAGGGGAAGGAGGGAGGTTTGAGCCAGTTTTGTACAAGGTTCATCCCCATATTGATAAGCTTGCCTCCATCTGTTTTGCACTTGAGGCATACTGAAGCAATGGCTGCCTCTTTCCTCTTGGTTTCCCAGCTTTTCATTCTTACTTTGAACAGACCTTTCCTCTTTACTTGTATGACCCTGGAACTGTTGACTATGGTCAAGTAGGTATATTGTTAAAATTTGGGCTCGGGTAAAGAGGTATGGCAGTGTTGTATTTGATCTATTTCATTTCACTTTTTGATACATCCTCTGAGTTGTAGCCAACTAAATTCTACTCAAGAGTAGATTCATTGAAATCAATGGAGTTAAGTTAGTTATGCCCATTGAATTCAACGGGTCTACTCTCATGTATAATTAACATTGAATTTGACTCTTTGTCAGAATGTTTTTGGTTAAAGCCAGAATCACCTTTCAGGTACAGGCAACAACCATTTTGCATGGGGGTTATTTTCCTGAACCCCACACGTGTTGGTGGAGCATGCATAAGTCTGCTTTTCCACCGCCTCACCCCCTTTTCCAGACACTTCTGGGTTGCAGAGATGTGTATGGTTGCGCACATATTGGACAAGCATAAAATGGTCATTGCCTGTATATATGTTCCAGCACCCAAATTCTTGGGGCCAATATTAATTTTCTTTGTACCAGCCTTGGAGAAAACTAAGTGGTTCTTAAGTGTCGTTGGCTGTGGTACCTGCTAGAAGCTTTTACCAACATAACTAGCACACTCTAGCCATAATACCTCAAAAAGCTCATAACACAACTTGGGCACCAAATTATGACAATATGAGCTTTCTCTTTCAGTTATCCATACAGCTGGACACGAGGGCAACTGAGATCTAACCTCTGAACATTGACCTAAAAAAATACTATATTTCTATCTAGTAATCATTGCCCCTTTTATAGATAGGCAGGCACTAATCCATATGTGTTTATAGGTTTAAAGACATGTTTGAATCTGTAAGGAGAAAGATGCAAAGCTGTGCCTTCTGGCAGAGGGATGTTGCCAGACTGCAATATTGAGTTATTCAGTCCGCACAGCCAAAGACGTCTTTGAGCAGCTGTACCTTTGTGGATTGTCAGGCAGCAAAAATCTTGGTGGTGGTGTGGCAATGGATAAAACACTGCAATTCTTCCAATGTTTTGACCCTCACAAAGAATGTTAATCACAATGGAGGAAAGTGGAAGATTTTTAGCTTAGAGTGGGGAATATTTTTCTACCTGAGGGCCACATTCGCCAGTGCTGGGTGTGGCCAGATGCACAAGTGAACAAAGTAGTGAATGCAAATTTACCATTGCACAGTCGGCTCGTTTTGTACACACACTTGCATAGCCTGTTGTATCCCCCATCCAAGCAAGGAAGAGGCGTTGCCTGAGTTAGGCAAGAGCACTCAAGGAGAGGGTGAAGCATAGGGTGTGTGTCTGGGGCAGGGGTGTAGCCTGGGTGTGGTGTGGTCTTGAGAGGCACTTGAGAGTCGGGAGTAAGGCTGATCACTTGTCACATTTGCCATGGTAAGAGTGGCATTGACAGAACTGTAGAAGCCTGAGCATGTGTAATTTAATACCTGTATCTGGAGCCATATTTGCAGAATGAAAACTCCTAAATCGGGGTTTTCTCCAGATTGACCGTTGCCCAGATTTATCACTAAAGAGAAGGTTTTCCAGGGCAAAGACCTCTTAGACCTGTGCACGGGACAAGTGCAAGTCTGAATGAGCCCTCTATATCCTCAGATGAGGCTTTTGGCAGCTGGGTGTAGCCTGGAGAATAAATTCCTGACATATAAGATCCTATGTATTTAGGCCATCAGATTCTTTTTTCCCCTCATCAGCTTTCCAAATTAAGAAACAGCAGGCTAAGTGTATAGCACAGTTGATATTGCCCTCACAACCTGAGGCTGTTACAAAAAGCAATTTAGCAAAACCATATCTTCCCCTTGCTTCCAAGGCTATTTAAAAATTGACTCCTTTCTTTTTAGCATGCACACTGAGCAATGTGTTATATAAACTCCTGTATGTGACTTTACTGGCGCAGCATAAAAGAACTTGTATGAATACCCATTTCCCCATCTATTTTGTGTGTTACTTCTAGATTTTATTTTGTGTCTCTTAGATGGAGAGCCTGTGGGCAGAGACTGTCTTTCAAAAAATAAAGTGTGTATAGCTCTGCAAAACAAACTATTGTTATGAGTGGAAACAGGATATTGTCTGTCTCCACAAAGTTCAAAGAGTTTCTTTAAACAAATTATTTGTTAAGGCTGCAGTCCTAAACACATTAGCTAGGGAGCAGGCCCTACTGAATGCAGACTTAAAGCACAGTCCTATACATGTTTATTTGGAGATAAGATGATAGGTTTTTAATAATTGTTGGTGTTTGCACCCATATGAGTTTTGTTGCCAAACTGCTAGATTGATTCTGTGGTCCTCTGCTGATATAACTGCAGATTTCAGATGGATTAAAACAGTCTGGTTTGTATTATCTACACTGTGACAATGTAATTTTTGAAAGCAAACAATTTTAGTGCAAACAGCTATCCATTTACTACTTTAAAATCATCACTTCAGTAATGCGGTTTCTAGCAAGAAATTTACCAAGTGGCACTGGCACTATAGTTGTTTATAGAGATTAGCACAAAATTTTATGCATGTTTTGGGAGTAAATAAAAATATATAGACTTTGGCTCACTAGTATTTGCAACTAGTATGTATTATGAAGCTTGTAATTATTTGGTCACCCAGTAAGGTAGGAAAATAGTATTTTCATATTGTACAGGCGGGGCACTGAGAAACAGAAACAAGATAACCTAGAAACAATAGAGAGATCTGCATAAAATTTTATATTCAGATGCAAAGTTATTCCTGTTCATAGCAAATGGTATTTGCATAGCCACAGTAGGACAGGCAGCAGTACTGAAGACTATAGTTAGAAACATTCATACTATTTCAGTCTACAAACCTTCTAGATGAGCCTCAGTGTATTTATTTGAGATAAATCCCATTGGGTTAAGCTAGATGTACTTCCCAGTAGTCCAAGCAAAGTTAGGCTTTGGGGTTTAACTAGTCTGTTTGCTTATTTGCAATGGAATAACTCCATGGAATTTTGCAGGAGTGGAATGGAATGGGTTGCATACATCCGAAACACAGTTGGATATTTCAGTTTCAAATCTCAACCCTTGTACGGGTTTTGAAGGACACCATATTGAATGTTCAATGTGGCATCTCCCTTGAAGATTGAGACATCAGGGTGGAAGCTGGTGTGCATATCAGGACGGCGCTCTACATTTTGTGTACAAACCATAGTTTTATCCTATGTCTATTTTTGAAAGGGACCATGAATAAAACAAAATAGATTCTAAGATCATAACGTAATATATGCACTGGTGAGTGAGATATTAAAATTAAAGTTGGTGTGTATGTTCAGGAGATAGTTATAAATTACATGTTAACGTATGAACTTGCCCCCTACCCCCATTTTGAAAAAAGGGTCCAGGAGCAAGTGAGATCTCTTAAACACTGCACTTCACTACTGTTGCTGTGGTGTAATCTTGCCAGACTACTCCAGTTTGTATTATTATTATTATTAAATTTATATCCTGCCCATCTGGCTGGGTTTTCCCAGCCATTCTGTGCGGCTTACAACATATATAAAAATGCAACAAAATCTCTAGCAGTAAAAAAACCAAATAGCCTATAAAAGCAACAAACAAACCAATAAATCAATAGAAACCAATAATAATAATAATAACAGTAACAACAACAGTAATAAACAGTTTACAGTTATGCCCGAATTAAAATATCTGCCAACCCCAACTAATCATTTAACCAACCCAACAAAAACAAAACAGAGAAACCAAAATTAGAACCGTTTAAAACATTTTAGCTAGTTGCCCCAACCCAAGAGTTGTTCCAGCAATGTCCCTCCGGCCTGCCAGGAGCCCTTTAGCTATTCAGGGTAAGTCTGGACCCTACCCCCTAGGCCAGGAGGAAATGGGCCTTGCAACGGAAAGCAGGTCTTTCTTCCAGCCCTCATGGTGGCAGCAGAAGTCATAAAACCAGACTGAGCAAAAGCAGTGTTGCAGCATTTGTTTGCTAAATACTTCATAGTTGTGCAATTTTTTAAAAAAAGGAAAGTTACTGGTATGAGAGCTTCAATGTATTATCCTGATCATTGTGGTGTTGTAAGTGCCACACATAATTTCTTAATTTTATCATTTGGGGTGTTACTTGTTAAAGTATCCTTATTGGGTTCATAAAAACAGAATGGCCTGCTTAGTAGTTTCAAAAGTGTAAGCTTCCAGCATTTGCTGAAAGTCAATTGACAATTGGACAATTGGTGTGTTTGGCCCAGTTATATGCTGATAATAAAGGTTACTGGTAACTGTAAAAGCTTGTGTTGGTGGTGTGATACCAAGACAACAGATGAAACCAGTTTCTCATATGCTTGTGACAAGAACACCTCTGTATGTGTCTCTCTCCTCCCCATTTGTGGAAACAAAGACAAAGTATCTGCAACTGCATTTAGTCATTGTTCTCTTTCATCCCTTCCATTTTTGTAAACCCAAATAAGTCCATGGTGGTATATGAATAAATAAAAGGCTTGTGGCAGTCCGTTGAAGTCCCTAGGGCTTACAAAAACTTTTTTTTAAAAAAGATGCCTGTGGTTGGAGGATGTGATGTGTATGTTGAGATTTTTATTTTATTCGTAATTCACGTAGGCAGCTAATTGAGAAGTAGGTCCCTTGACGACAAAATCTGACTTGCTTTTCTTGTCACGAGTAAAGAAAATACTGCTGCCTTTTGTACTGTAGGAAAAAGTGTGGAACACAGTGCTTCCAAATGATGCATTACATTTCTTCACCTCCCAATTAACCTTGGTCTAGGTCACAAACTGCTATTGCTGAGCGTTCTGAGCTTGTTCCTCTTCATCCTTTTAAGTTAACGGTTTGCATCAGCGGTATGCTTTGCTTGTCTCAACAGATTCATGAACCACCCAGCTCCAGCAAATAGCCGTTACAAACCTACCTGCTATGAGCATGCTGCTAACTGTTACACTCATGCGGTAAGTAAATCGATCTATTGGCAGCACAATCAAAAGTAATTCTAATTCCCATCTGTGTAAGATTTTGTTTTATTCATAGTTTGAATACAGGCTGGTACTGCTGAATTGTCGTTAATACAGTTGAGACTGCTGCAATAAGTAAATGTTCTGGTACAACAGCAGAGTCCACACATTCCATTGATTGCTCATTCATTCATTCACTCATACATAACACAAGCAATCTTTTTCCATTCTGCTCCATGTTTAGGAATCAACAGTTCGCTAAAGCCTCACGAGGATCTACTTTCCCTAAACTAATAATTGCTTAAAGATTTTTCTCCCACTTTGGAGGATCTAGAGAGATTTATTTCAAAAATGTTCTGACACTCTTTTTTAAAAAATAAGACAGCAGCAGTGTTTTAAATTGAAGCATATGTTCCATCTCAAAGTGGCTTCTAAGGCTGCCTAAAGTATTGTCCAACAAACAAAATATTTACTAGTCTTGCAGCCCACACATACTGTTAGTAATCCATGGCCTAAAAAAGAAAAAGTACAAATTCTTATAAAGCTTTCCTATCCAGAACCTAAAATGGAATTATTTATTTCTCTCCAGGCTTTCTGCTGAACAAAACTCTGATTAATCTTTCAAACTAGGCTGCCTTAACTGTTGCACACAACATATTATACCAGAGATTTTTGCTTATGTTTTGCTTTTTAAAAGTTCTAGTTTGTTCTGCTTTCAGGATAAAGGTAATGATTAAATTATTGCCAGAAAGAACTTGGTCTTTTGATTGTTGTTTCTACTTTGTCTGAGTTTTATGTTTTGTTTTTTGTTTCATTTAGTAGCATTGATTCATTCTTTGCCAGCTCATGGTGAAATGTGTGGTTTATTCATAATACAGCCTTGGTGATGTTTGTCAGTAGTTTCCAGTGGGCCACAGACACCAGTAAAATGCAAATACAGTGGTACCTTGGTTTAAGAACAGCTCAGTTTATGAACAACTTGGATTAAGAATGCCGCAAACCCGGAAGTAGGTGTTTTGGTTTGTGAACTGTGCCTTGGAAGCAGAACATGTTCCGCTTCCTGTTGAGTGTAAATTGAGACCCCCGTGCTATGGGAAAGCATGCCTTGGTTTAAGAACGGGCTTCCGGAACGGATTAAGTTCGTAAACCAAGGTACCACTGTACATTTGTATGTTTAAATGTCAGGTTTCATAGAAGCACTACAGTGGACGTTAGTCCATGTGGTATCATAATGTGCTCCCAATGTTCACTCTCACAGGAAGTGGGGCTGCTCTGAACCAGCTGATTCTTTTAAACTAGTATCAAGCAGATAATATTTCAATAGCATAATGCATAGCAGCTTTTTTAAAAATTTAAAGGCCCGGGACATTAAGAGATGAATTACTTTTACCTTGCTGTCGAATGGATTGCTTTCCTGCTATAAAGCTGATAGTTTACAACATCTGCAAAGTTTGTAAATTGGCATTAAGAAGGCATCTGAAATCACCTCCTGGCATCATTGCGCAGAAAGTTTTACCTTGGGTGTGTGCCATGGATCACTAGATACTGCAGCTCTTCCTCAGTTTTAGAGTATTTAATAAACTGTTACATTGGTGTTGTCAAAAAGCAAAATGATTCATTGGGCTGGAAAACCATCAAGCAGGTACCTATTGGGCAAGATGTTCAAATATTTTGGATGTCTCACTTTGTAGTTTGAAATCAATGAAACAGTTGCAACAAATCATAACGATAGCAATAGTAATACCAATACTTTAGACTTTCAAGTAGTCACACTTCACCAACAATATCTAGTTGTGATCCTCACAACAACCTTTTAAGGTAAGCCAATATTATTGTGCTTAATGCAGGGTGTGAGGGGCTGGATGAGACTAAGAAAGAGAGGCTAGGTGGTCTCAACTAGTGAGTTCACAGTAGAGGAGAAATTCAGACGAGGACTTCCTGATTTGTAGCTCAGACTTTTAACACCGCATCCATCATTACTTTCCAAGCTCCCTCTTAAACTGAAAACTTGGTGGTATTTCTAAGGGTCATGCCTCGGTTCATAATTTTCCTTAAAAGAAATTCCTATCTGTAATTTTAAAAAAGTAGGAACAATTTACCTTTTTTGGGGGGGGGGCTTTATAAGATGCATCAGACCATAAGACGCGCCTAGTTTTTGGAGGAGGAAAACAAGAGGAAAAAAATTCTGAATCCCAGAAGCCAGAACAGCAAGAGGGATTGCTGTGCAGCGAAAGCAACGATCCCTCTTGCTGTTGTGGCTTCTGGGATAGCTGCACAGCCTGCATTCGCTCCATAAGACGCACACACATTTCCCCTTACTTTTTAGGAGGGAAAAAGTGTGTCTTATAGAGCGAAAAATACAGTAAGTACCTAAGAGTGAGTAGGTTTGTCTGGAGAACTTGTAAAAATTCCAGCCTTCAGTAATAAGGCTAGAAAATACTCTTCGATTATTGAAAAGGCTTCTGATTAAAATGAAGCACAAAGGGGTAGCAGAAGAGGAACCCTGATCTCATAATAAAAATATCTTCTGTAAAATCTGCAACTTGAAAGGCCTTCCTTATCCCAGTCATGCAGTTTCTCCATTTCCACTTCCTATTTTAGTAGCTTTCATTATTTTGAAATTCGAATTGCTGCAGCTGCTGTTGACCTTGGAAGTAGCATTGAGGTTGACTTGTATAACAAGTTGTTGTTTGAGTGTTTTAAAGGGCGGGGAGTAAATCAGGACGTTATTTATACATCAGTGTGTCTGCATTTGTGTTACTTCCAGCATATTTTAATCCTAAATACAATATACCTTCTGACATTTTGGCACAGCGTTGGGATGGGATGGGTGGGTGACACAGCAGTTCTGTGACCTTCAGCCTAAGCAAATTCTTAAAAGTCTTACTGATGTCTCTGATGTAGAGATGTCTCTCTCTTCCATGATAAAGACAGAAATAACAATGTCTTTTCAACTGTAACAAACCTGGGTATAATGGACAACTTATAAAAACCACTGGTTCTTTTTACTCCTCTTTGGAGCAAAAGGTAGATAGTAGGTGACTGGGGCCTAGGCATAGCAAGTAGAATTTTAAATGAGGTTTGGTAGACTAGCAAATAAACATGTTCTGTTGTTTCCTTAGTTTCTCATTGTTCCAGCCATTGTGGGTAGTGCCCTGCTCCATAGGCTCTCTGATGATCGATGGGAAAAGATAACAGCATGGATGTATGGGATTGGTCTCTGTGCACTGTTCATCGTTTCCACAGTGTTTCATATAATTTCCTGGAAAAAGAGTCATTTAAGGTATAAATCAGGTATTCATTTGGGGTTCATTCGTGCTGCCGTGCACACAACGTGCTGCTTGTAAATTAGGTTGTGATTTATCCGTGTTGCAGCCATCACTGCCGTTCTGCTCATGCAACAGACATCTGCTTGAGCAGCAAAACTTCCTCTCCCATCCCTTGCAGCCCTGCGTGCACCCTCAAAAACTACTCCAGAGAGTTAGAGCAGAGGTGAAGGCCACGCAGGGAGAAGAATAGGGAAGTCCTGTTGCAGGAACAGATTGCCACCTCTGTGCCATTGGATGCAACCCTCCTTGCCCAAAGGAGGTTGGGGTGATTTACCGTAGTCACTCTGGGTAATAAGAGTTTTCCTGCTTGAGGATTCTACTGAATTTTGCACATTATTGGTCTTAAAAATGTTACGTGTATAAAGTTTCGGAGTAGATTAGTGAAAGACACAAGACGGAAAAGATTTGTCGTTGTGCTGCTACTTTTACAGTATAGCCACAGACTACAAAACATTTATTTAAGGCATCTGTATCCAATCTGCTGCACAGATACAGGAGAGGAAGGAAGGGATGCACTACCTGTGCTGCTTCAGCACAGGTAATGCAGCAGCAGGTAGTGCATCCCTTCCTTCCTCTCCCACACACTCTTTCTGTACTTCTTCACAAGGTAAAGGTAAAGGTACCCCTGCCCGTACGGGCCAGTCTTGACAGACTCTAGGGTTGTGCGCCCATCTCACTCTAGAGGCCGGGGGCCAGCGCTGTCCGGAGACACTTCCGGGTCACGTGTCCAGCGTGACATCGCTGCTCTGGCGAGCCAGAGCCGCACACGGAAACGCCGTTTACCTTCCCGCTAGTAAGCGGTCCCTATTTATCTACTTGCACCCGGGGGTGCTTTCGAACTGCTAGGTTGGCAGGCGCTGGGACCGAGCAACGGGAGCGCATGCCGCCGCGGGGATTCGAACCGCCGACCTTTCGATCGGCAAGCCCTAGGCACTGAGGCTTTTACCCACAGTGCCACCCGCGTCCCCTTCACAAGGTGTAGATGAACGCAAACTGTATTTGCACAGGATTCCCTGACTTTCTAAGTGTCTGTCTGTCTATCTGACTTATTTATCTACATACATATCTATCATGTGATATGTTGGGATTGTGATTGGCTTCTTTAGCCTTAGGTGAACAGCAAAATACCTTCAGTAAAACTAAGATTTAGGGCTACCTGTTCCTGAGGAAAGGAACTCTATGGCATGCCTACCATCCTGCTTTTAGATTTTTTTAGAATAATGTTTCATATTGGGTAATGTTTCTAGTAACATACCGATTTTTTTAAAGTGATCTGTTCCCTTGTTTGCCTTTCCATTTAGGACAATGGAGCACTGCTTTCATATGTGTGACAGAGTGATGATCTATATCTTCATTGCAGCATCATATGCACCATGGTAAGGGTTAAAAATGTGTACTTACTGATAGGATGAAATGGTGATGGCATATTATCAGTGACAGCTTCCACTTAATGGATTGGTTGACTAATTGCTCATGGCCTAATCTGCTGAGAGTTAGAAGCAGGGCAGTGAAATCCTTTTTCCATTTAATAAATAAGGGCTTTGCATTTTTGACAAAGCTGTTCTGATCCATCAAGGACAACGTGCATACATAAGGAGGCTTCTCCTTAGTCATCAACTGCATTCTTGGTAACTGCATGGAAAACAGTGTGTTGCAGATGTACAGGGGCCAGGATGTTTCATATATGACTATAGTAACTGATACTGCTTTTCAGTTCTGCTCTCCCAAAACATCAGTGATCTTAATAGGATTTATAGCATGTAGGGAGTTACTCATTTGTATTGCTTACAGTAGGGGGGCCCGGCCTTTTGGGGCCTGGGGCGCATTTGAAAATCAAAGTAATTGTTGTGGGCACCACAAATTACCCGTTTCACACAAGGAAAACTGGCAATACTCAGGACCTAACCCTGCCACCATACAAACAAAAAGCCTATGACACTCCACAGCAAATAAAACTAAAAAGCAGGCAGCACCCCCCCAAAAAAAATAGCAACCCAGAAAACAACCCCCAAAGGGACCAAAACACCTAGAACCCGGCGTGCAGGGGAGGCACCAGTGGGATATCTGAGGGCATCATGGTTGCAATAAATTCCTTAAAGTTGTAAATTGTTTTATTAGTAAATTCTTTAAAGTTGTTGTAAGCCACCTCAAGAGTAAAAAATAAAAAAATTGCTGTCAAGCTGATGGTTAAAACGAAATATTTGCTGTAAAATGTAAAAACTTCATAGGTATCATCTTTGCACACATCAATATTTTAAATTTACTGAACTAATTTGGGAAAAAATACTTCATGAATTGAATGGTGTAGAAATGAATATCTCTGTCTGAGTAGTTTTAATCCTTTTGTTATATCTGCACGTGGAATACAAATCGTCTTTGATTTGATCTGCCGTCAGTTCTGCATTTCATTTGATCACCTTAATATTTTTTTAGGTTAAATCTTCGTGAGCTTGGACCTCTGGCCTCCCATATGCGATGGTTTATCTGGTTGATGGCTGCTGGTGGAGCCATTTATGTGTTTCTCTACCATGAGAAGTAAGACAACATTGTGATTCGTATTTGAATTGGCGTTTCGTAGACTTGGAATCTGTGCAGATGTAAATATTAGTCCTGGTTTTTGGAACTGGGACCGGTTCAAGTTAAGGCCAAGGTTGTGAGCTGGAAATCCAGCATTCCCATAAGTGGAGTTAGGACATGTTTAACTAAGTTTAGCAATGATAAGGCATAATGTTGAAGCAGGATAGAAGAGAGGAGGACTGGAGCCCTTATCCCCATTAGCCTGCTTCTGATTTCTGAACCATGGTTAAAACGTTGTCAACACAGAACTCTAATATGTGTACTTAACTTATGATTTTGAAAATGGCAAAAATACATAAATGGAAGGGTATCGTGACTTGTGGAGGAACATTCTACATTTGGAGTGACACCTCTTCTTTGTGTGTGTATTTTATATGTGGTGTTTCCTTGTAAGAAAAATTGGAACAGATAGTCATCTTGCTTATTTTTATTTAATGAAAAACAAAACAGTTTTAACATAAGTGTATTCTCTTATCTCTTTTGAGAAACACAGACTGAAAAGGCTGAATTAATAGCCAGGCAGTCTTATTACATGTTGGCACCAGGCACATCACCAGAGTGTAGAAAATTACTCCCTTTCACTTGTGAGATTTCTTTTTGATAAATAATTCAATATGAGTGGGTGAAAAGAACCTGGATTTCTATCAAAGAAATAGAAACTCTGGGTGCAATCTATCTTCTATTCCACCGAGTGGAGACAGACTGTCTGCTTCTGATATTTGATATTTATCATTTTCTAGCAAGATTAATAGGTGTAAAAATTCTAGCCACATCAACAAGAGGAAGGCAGATTCTCTTAATGTATGTCCCTGCTCCTTTTCACGTCACCCAAATTTCCTCGTCCCACCTCCCAGGTTTTTTGCTTTCGGCTGCATGAAAGATCTCTGTTTTCTCTGGAGGATATCTTTCCAATGCAGGGACACCCTGGGCCGTCAAAGGATAAAGCCTTCCTTTTTGATATCTGTTGGACATTTGTTTTTCCAGATAATGGAATGCTGAACCAAAAAAAAAAAAATTCCATTCTGTGGAAGCCCAGTGCAGTAGAGGATATAACAAAAGATGTGCCACTAAAATTGGCAATGTATTGCTGAGAGAGATAAATGTATGCAAGTGAAAACTGCTGTCTTTTTGAGGCGGGAATGCATGTTTCTTTTGCTTGGTTGCAGGCTTACTTTACTTTATTTTTGTAGGTATAAAATTGTGGAGCTCTTCTTCTATCTAGCAATGGGCTTTTCTCCTGCTTTAGTCGTGACCTCCATGGTAAGTATGCTTGCTAAAGAATTTTAAAATCTAAATCTTGGGAGCTATTATTAATATTTATTATAGGTTTGTTTTTTAAAAAGACTTCTGTATTCATTTAGATCTTTGCTGTGTTTCTGTTGCCTAACTTTTTCTTTTCCCCTCCATTTTTAAAAAGCTCTAAAAACAACACCAGTAGCAGCATCCACTGTGATGGAAGTGGAGCTGCCATCCCAACCCCAGTATCTCTGCAACTTACCTGGATGGGGCCAACTGGCAGCAGCGAGGTTGGGGTCACATGGATGCCCTGGCAGAACCAATCAGATGCAGGTTCGTTCATGCAGCCCCAACCTTGCCCCAGACCCTCCTAGGTAAGCTACAGCGACATTGGTGTAGGGAGGATGACACCATGGCTCCATCCCACCACTGCTGGCAAATGTATCTTCCAGTGAAGCAGGCACCAACTTAAGGCATCCTGTTTAACATAGCAGAATGATTATATATGGCACCATCCAAATGTCTATAGATTAACAGTGTTGGCCCACATATGCAGTACAGTGGTACCTCGGGTTAAGAACTTAATTCGTTCTGGAGGTGTGTTCTTAACCTGAAGCTGTTCTTAACCTGAGGTACCACTTTAGCTAATGGGGCCACCACGCCACCGCCGCGCAATTTCTGTTCTCATCCTAGAGTTCTTAACCCGAGGTACTATTTCTAGGTTAGTGGAGTCTGTAACCTGAAGTGTCTGTAACCCTAGGTACCACTGTATTGTCAGTAAAGGCAATGGAATTTGGGATATACAGTCGTACCTTGGAAGTCAAACGGAATCCATTCTGGAAGTCTGTTCGACTTCCAAAATGTCTGAAAAACAAATTGCGGCTTCTGATTGGCTGCAGTAAGCTCCGGCAGCCAATCAGAAGCCAGTCAGACGTTCGGGTTCCAAAAGAACGTCCGCAAACTGGAACAATCATTTCTGGGTTTGCGGTGTTCGGGAGCCAGAACGTACGAGTTCCAGGGCGTTTGACAACCAAGGTATGACTATACTGCTAGAGCCTAGATAAACCAGCAATGCCACACTTGTGCTATTAGCAGATTGAAATGGTTTCTTGTTGGATGGAGCAGCATGCAATGTTTTTTCATTGGCTTTTAAGCAGTATATTGATAAATTACTCTTAGTTGGTCAGATATGCAAAGCGGATGCAATTAATTTCACTTTCACATATCCATTCAATTAAACTTCCATTACATTCATGTAAGAATATTATTTGGACTAACGCAGCTACCCTTTTGGAAATGGTTTCAGTTTGGCTTAGCTTGTAAGCCTTGGGATAAGAAGGATGTGATTAAGAATAGATGTTGCTGGAACTGCAGCCAAGAGGGGAGCAAACTGGTGCAATATATATAAATTGCAGACATGAAAAAGAGTTGGAATATTCCATCCCCACCCCCAGCGTGTGGCTTCATACCAAAGATGTTTGCATGTGAAGAGTTGGCACTTGGTCTCTTCAACCTGAGTGAATGGTCAACTAATTGGCAGATGAGATTTGATATAACTAAATATAAAAAGGTACACACTAGAGCAATATATCCCAACTTAACATATGCACTGATACGATCTGAGTTGACTTGTCATTCTCCAGAAAAAGAATCTTGGTACAGTGATAGATAGTTTAATGGTGAGAGCAACTGAGTCTATGCTGACAGGGGAAAAGGCCAATTATGTGTCAAGTTGTATTCGTAAGAAAATGGAAAGTGAAATTGCCAATATTGCAATGCCTTTCTGTACAGTTATGATGTAGCTGCACTTTGAATACTATCTACTGCTCTAGTTACCCTATATAAAAATGGATATCCAGGTTGGAAAAGATGCATAAAGGCAAGCAACACTGTCAAAATGTTGGTGCACCTTCTTTTAGAGAAAATGTTAAAGCAATAGAATCTTATTATTTTGGCATAGTGTGGGGGAAGGAAAAGAGAACAAAGACAGGGAACAACATAATAGTCTTTATAAGCCTCAATACAGTGGTGACTGGATAAAGTGGTGCTTCTATCTCCATTGCATTACGACTTTGAGTCACCCAGAAAATTTGCAATAGATTTAGGAGAGACAAACAAAATTACTTTACACAGTGCAGGATTCATTTGTGGAATTTTCTACTGCTAGGTGAGATGATGGTTCCTGGATTAGATGGGTTTTAAAAGTGGGTAAGACCAGTTCTTCTGGAATTTTTCTAAAGGCCATGATAGCTAAATGGAACCCTTCATGTTCAGAGCCCTCATGCCAGCAAATACCAGTTTGCTGGTATAGCAGGATAAGCTGTTGTGTTCAAGCCCTGCTTGTAGCCTTTCCAGAAGTCTTTTGCCAGCTGCCATGGGAACGGGATGAAGGACTACATGGCAACTCCACCTGAAGCTGCAGGAACAGCTCTGTGCTAACACTCCTTAATAGTTTGGCAGCTAATGCTTGTCTGTGTATACAGTCTCAGTGGGCGTGATATTGCTGTACCGCTCAGTAGGGGGAGTAGAATGTTATGACCAGCCTCATTCTCTCACAAAGAGTGCTTAAAAAATAAAATAAAAACTTTATTAATCCACAGAACAACACCGATGGACTTCAAGAACTTGCTTGGGGAGGCTTAATTTATTGTATGGGAGTGATCTTCTTCAAGAGCGATGGGATCATTCCATTTGCCCACGCCATCTGGCATCTGTTTGTCGCCACGGCTGCTGCAGTTCATTACTACGCTATCTGGAAGTACCTTTACAAAAGTCCTGCAGAAATCATCCGTCACTTATGATATTAAATACACAAGACACGCACACCTTCGAGCTGCACTATGCCTCCGACTCAGTATTACTTGGGTAAAAAAAGAAATTCTGGGGAAGTGGGGAAAATATTGCACAGGGCGGGGGTGGGAATGCACTGACTGATAGTTTTTCAAACACATTTACTGTGAACTAAAGTGACAAAAATGTGTCCTTGAATTGCTGTTCATATATCAAGTCCTGGGCACACAGTCCCCACATGCATTTTTCTTGTGGAAGCCCCTAGTGGAATGAATGGGGAAAGCGCAAAATCACTGTACAAGGCCCATTCTTTTCAGCTGGGGTTTCCACAGAAGCATTTCCCTTTCGTATTGCATCTGCTGTCCGTCAGCAGAAGCTACACTCCAGCACACAAAGTTTAGTGCACTTAATCCAATTGGGTGTAAGCATGCCTAACTTTGGTTTGTGGTTTAAAACACCATGCTGCATTATTAATAGTCCATTCTACATTAACAGGGAAAACAGTGTAAAAATGTTTGGTGGCCTGATGTTTACAGATTCTTTCTTTTTTTTTTAAGGTGTATTTAATGGGTTTAATTTCTTCGGTTTTTAAACTGCATAAACTTTTTGAAATGACAGTTTTGAATTGAGGAAGTTGATGTAACAGCAAATACTTAATTCTTTTCTTTTTTAAAGTTGCTTTCTACCACTTTTTCACAAACAATTTAATAAAACGCAAATCATGGAGAGATAAGTTTAAGCTTCCTCCTCCCCCCACCACTTGTACTGATACAACTTTTTATATAAAAATGTTTTTTAAAAATAATTTTAAAAGTATATGCAGCTGCTGTTGTGCAGTTGCAGCTGCAGTGAAACTTTGCAAGAAAACAACTACATTCCACATACTGTCCTGACCTTATATACCTCTTCCAAAGCTTTTTATTAAAAGTGTGTGAATGATCATTATGAAATTTCAAAATTGGCTCTGCCAAGCTCTTACCTAAAAACCTGCTACCCTCCACATTTAATTTAATTATCAGATTTGGATTTATTAAAAAAAAATAGTGCTAACTAATTCAAAAAACCCATCCCACTGTGCCATTTCTAGACATAGATGCATGTGTTTATGTGAAAGCACTCTGGAAATAATTTGCTCTTGTAATACAGGTGGTTAGCAATTAGCAGTAAAAAAAATGAAATTACTCGTAAAGCGTTGGTAATTTTGGGAGGTGCCTAAGAGACTGTTGCTTAAATAATGAGGCTTACAGAGCAGTCCATTTGTATACTAACCTGGGAGTAAATCTCATTGTGTTCAGTGGGGCTTTCTCCCTAGCAAGTGTTCGGGATTGCAAGTTGAGGCAAATGACTCCCAGAGGAAGACTGTGGGAAGCAAATACCTTGCTCTTTCTCTCATTTTCTAAAACTTATCCTATTAACAGTTGTTTATAAAATTTTGAGTATTAATAGTAGTTCATCACACACCCAAATGGCCTTTTCAGGGAGGGAAGCTTGAAGAACTAGATAGGTCTCATCGGTCAGGGACTTGGTAGCGAAACTGGGCTTTAAATGTGCTGCTCTTTAGCATCTGGATCAATGAACTGTGGTAGCAATTTGATTGTAGAGATTGTGTATTAAGTAACAAGATGTTAGAATCTCCGTTGTGATGATTGCTGTCCAGTTACTGTAGCATGTCCCACTGTATTATGAATGTCTTATATTAAGATTGAATTTATTCTTTTTCTAACTTGCTCTTTTTCATATCAGTGTTTTAAAAACTAAAACGGAACATGATGCCTTTTTCAGATTTTATCTGGATATTTTGTCTGTTGGACCAGTAGATATGTACTCTGGGGATGGGAGCTTCCTCCCCAAGGTAATATGTAATTCTCTTCTAGATCTGCTGGTGCGTTGTTACATATATTAGAATTGGGTGCACTTGTATACAATTTGCAAGAAGGGGCAAATGCTCAGATTAAAGTGGGGCGTTGGAAGCTTGGCTTCCACACCGTATTAGTGGGTGACTACAAAATTGTCCCACATCAGGGACACTTCCAAAATTCTTCAGGGCTCCAGAATTTGCATCTGGCTCTGGCAAAGTGGTTGTTGTGTGCCTCTCTTGTCAGTATTGTAAGGTTCCAAGTCATTGCAAGAGAATGGAGAAGTTGACACAAAGATCTCATGTGAATATTGGAATCCCTGAATTGGAGTAGAACACGCTTATCTTCTGAGCAGCATGCAAATGAAACAGCAAAACAGAAAATATTTTCTGTGACCGCCCTGGAACATCTGAATGCCTCAGTTGTCTTTGTTGTCATCTTATTTTCTTGTTTCAACTGATGTGTCTGACTTTAATATATTCACTTTTTGTGAGTTCTTGTATTCTGTCCAAGTGCAGTACTGTTGAGACCACTGAAATGTGTACAAGCTCTGGTTTTTTGTCAGAAACTATGAAACTAGCTCCAATTAATTCCGCTATCTTCATAATGATTTCTTGTGGTCTTTTTAATGTGTTTGTTTTTACGAGTGAAAAGTGTTTTGGTTAAAAAGAAGAAGAAAAAGAACTGAATTCGCCAAAAAAGACTTTGAATCCAGTCTAGCTCCTACAAGTTTAAATGTAACTAGATGAATGCAAATAAACATTTTGTGCAATTTGGAAATTTGTATTGTCCTTGTCAAATTGGGTCACAAAAGCCTTCACTGCTGCTCTTTCCTCATGGTGAATATATCCTGATCAAGATTGTGGCCAGTCTAGACAACCATGCAACTTCATATACACAGTCTGACTTTAGTTTTGTGATGAAGATCACAACCACTAGACTAGCTCTAGAAAATTCAGAAATATCTATGCAGATGCAAAGTCTAAATTTTTTTGAATGCACAGATAATCCCTCTAAAGGGGAGCATCCTGTTTTCACCAGTACTTCGGTACAATATGGCAAATTGCTGCTTCCCCCTATTCTCCCCACTGAAAACATCTTGCAGCTGTTTCCCTAATTGCACCCCAAAATTTTCAAAACAGCCTTACCCTATGGTCAGTAAGCTAGCCTACATCCCCTCTAAATCCCTTCACTAAAAAGAGTTATCCACCATTGTCGGTTCTGGGCCACAGTCTTGCCATATTGTCTTCAGATCATGTCAGTTTCTTTTAAAAACCCATTTTCATAGATTTTGAAGAAGAAGAAGAGGAGGAGGAGTTTGAATTTGATATTGTGCTTTATCACTACCCGAAGGAGTCTCAAAGCGGCTAACATTCTCCTTTCCCTTCCTCCCCCACAACAAACACACTGTGAGTGGGACTGAGAGACTTCAGAGAAGTGTGACTAGTCCAAGGTCACCGAGCAGCTGCATGTGGAGGAGCGGAGATGCGAACCCGGTTCCCCAGATTGCGAATCTACCGCTCTTAACCACTACACCACACTGGCTCTTTTAAGATCCTGGGTTGTGTTGCCTCTGTTCTATACAGCATCAGGCATGATGGCACTGTGTTTATGGTAACCAAAACAGTTCTTTGTTTAATCTCAGGAAAGGATGCTTGCTGCCTTCATTCAATTTAAGTCTCAAGTGCTTATTAAAAGTGTGTGTTTGAATGTCCCTCTCATTATTGAACATTCAGCTGCTCCTGCCTTAAGACACCCATCCACTTGTTTAAAGGCATTATAATTAATCAGTAATTGTATGCTTCACTTTTGTTCCCCTTTGCCTATATATTCTGTGTAAATAAAAGTGACGCACAGATTTGGGTGGTGGTATACAAAGCCCGGGACGCGGGTGGCGCTGTGGGTAAAAGCCTCAGCGCCTAGGGCTTGCCGATCGAAAGGTTGGCGGTTTGAATCCCCGCGGCGGGGTGCGCTCCCGTTGCTCGGTCCCAGCGCCTGCCAACCTAGCAGTTCGAAAGCACCCCCGGGTGCAAGTAGATAAATAGGGACCGCTTTCTAGCGGGAAGGTAAACAGCGTTTCCGTGTGCGGCTCTGGCTCGCCAGAGCAGCGATGTCACGCTGGCCACGTGACCCGGAAGTGTCTCCGGACAGCGCTGGCCCCCGGCCTCTTGAGTGAGATGGGCGCACAACCTCAGAGTCTGGCAAGACTGGCCCGTACGGGCAGGGGTACCTTTACCTTTATACAAAGCCCTTGACCCACTGTGACATTACAACCGATAACAATCTTTTTGCAATTTCCTTGATGTTAGCTGAGTTACCTGGATGTCAATTGCCATCTCTTGAGTCCTACACAGCAGGAAGTTTCTACCAAATCTCAGGAGGCTTCAATGGCGGCAGCAACTGATCGCTAAATCCGTTTGCTGCTATGTTTAACGTAAGCCAGCAGGAGAGGCGACTTGGATACATTTGGAAATCTGCTTTTGCACTTTACGTAGCATGATTTTTTTGAATGTGCCTTGCACAAGTGGCCAAATGATGTTGCTTGTTCACTTTAATCACTAAAACCTTTCTTTGGTGACGGAAGCAAATTATTTCTGAAATTGCATGCTTGGGCAGGTTGAGAACACTGAGGAAGTGCAATGCTACCACAAGACCGTTAAGAAGAAATGGTCAATTCTTAAATATAGCCTCCCTAATGAAGCTAGTCATTCCTGGTTCCTATCATAGAATTTTAGAGTTTGAAGGGACCATGAGGGTCATTTAAGCCAACCCTTCAATGCAGGAATCTTTTGCCCAGTGTAGGACTTGAACCCTCAACTCTGAGATTAAACGTCTCGTGCTCTACAGCTGAGCTATCTGAATCATCACACTGCCCCATTTGTAAGGGGTCTTGCTTTAAATAGTGTGGAAATCAAAACATAAGATAATCATTTGAAACATGCCAACATCACTTATTTTTTTTCTGATACGCATATTGAGAGAATCACTGCCCATCTGTGCCATGGTGTTCTGAACATTGTGCAGAGTGCCGATCACACAGCAGTTGACACGAAACAAGCATGCCACACACTTCCTCAAATACACTGCAAAGTTAACAAATGTTGCATGAAGATTTCAGCAAGTAACTAAAATATATTTGCCCTTTTGACATCAGCTTGCCTGGCTGTTATTTTGCTTTACTGGCACTCTGGCTACATGGGTAAGAACAGTTTAGCACAACTTGGTTCTTGTGGCTAGGGCAGAATATGAACCAAAAAAACGGCACCCTCGCACACACTGTAATGTGTAATCATTTGTTACATACACCAGAGGTTTTCAACCTTTTTGGGTCCACTGCTCCCTTGACCAACTGCATTCTTTTTGCAGCACCCCTGTGGGGCTTAGGAGCCCAGTTATGTCAGTTATGCAGAGCTGGCAGCCTCTCGCCCTTTTTCAAACACCCTTGTGGAGTATTTCTTCAGCCTCCCTTTCCTAGGGGGTCCCCTGGGCAGCTGCAGCTGCCACCCCTGGTCCCTGAGCTGCCCCCTACCCCAAATAGAGGTGCCTCCTCACATTGACCCACAGGTAAATGTGGTTAAAAAAGTGAAATACCTGGGGGTCAATTTGACTGGGAAAAATTTGAATTTGTTCAAAGATAATTATGAAAAATGTTGGTCTGAAATTAAAAAGGACTTAGAAATTTGGTCAAGACTGAAACTTTCCTTGTTGGGAAGAATTGCAGCAGTTAAGATGAATGTATTGCCAAGAATGTTGTTTCTGTTTCAGGCCCTGCAGATCGTGGACAGAGTGGAGTGTTTTGGAAAGTGGCAGAGGGACATTATGAAGTTTGTCTGGCAGGGCAAAAAGCCCCGTATAAAATTTAAAATATTAACAGATGCAAAGGAAAGAGGGGGATTTGCCCTGCCGGACTTAAGGTTGTACTATGAAGCTGCATCCTTCTGCTGGATGAAAGATTGGTTTTTTGTTAGAAAACACTGATGTCCTAGATCTGGAAGGGTTTAACAATGCTTTTGGGTGGCATGCTTATTTGTGGTACGACAAGGTAAAGCTTCATAAGTTATTTAAAAACCATATTGTCAGGAAATCTTTGTTTAATGTCTGGACTAAATACAAGGACTTACTTGAAAACAAGACTCCGAGGTGGCTATCACCGATGGAGGCTAAGGCCACAAAAATACTTAATATGGGGGGTGGCTGGGCAAAATACTGTGAAATAATAGAAAGAGTGGGTGACACTTGGAGGTTGCAGAGTTTTGAAAAATTGAAAGGAAAGGTGCGAGACTGGTTTCATTACGCCCAAATTTTAGAGATTTTTAAAAAGGACAAAAAAATTGGTTTCCAGGTGGAAAAATCAAAATTAGAGTTAGAACTACTTGAACCTAAGACGAAAGTGCTTTCAAGAATGTATAACTTGTTGCTTAAATGGAATACTCAAGATGAGACAGTTAAATCAGCCATGATAAAATGGGCACAAGATATTGGGTACAACATTATGTTTGAAGACTGGGAAAGGTTATGGACCACCGGTATGAAATTTACGGCATGTAGTGCCTTAAAAGAAAACATTATGAAAATGATGTACAGGTGGTACATGACCCCAGTCAAACTTGCAAAGATATATCATCTGTCTGACAATAAATGTTGGAAATGTAAGGAGGCTGAAGGAACATTCTTTCACCTTTGGTGGACATGCCCGAGGGTGAAGGCTTTTTGGGAAATGATTTATAACGAGTTGAAAAAGGTACTTAAGTGTACCTTTCATAAGAAACCAGAGGCCTTCCTCCTGGGCATTGTAGGCCAGAGAGTGCCAAAGAAAGATAGAACTTTCTTTTTATATGCAACTACAGCAGCAAGAATCCTTATAGCTAAATACTGGAAGGCACAGGAGCTACCCACACTGGAAGAGTGGCACACGCAACTGATGGACTACATGGAACTGGCTGAAATGACTGGCAGAATCCGAGACCTGCGAGAAGAGGCAGTGGAAGAGGATTGGAAAAAATTTAAGGACTATTTACAAAAACATTATAAGCTATATGAATGCTGAGAATTTGCTAAGTTTTGAGAAAAACATGCTTCAGTATTGAGATTCGGAAATGATTGAAACTAAGTTATGACCGAGAAAAGTTTAAATTCTAGAGTAAATAATTAGATGAAAATACAAAAACACATGAAACAAGGTATTAATTTGCTGTCTACTTTTATTGTAAAGAAAGCAGGGATGGAGGATGTGGGGAAGTCCAGTTGATGATGAAAAAAGATTTGGAAAAATGAATTTTCTTTTATTTAATTTCTTCTTTCTTTTTGTAAAACAGCTTTTGTTGTGTTATTGACGATGTATTCTGACCTTGGAAAATAAAGCAATAAAATTTTTTTATTAAAAAATAAAAAATAAAAAAAAACACATTGACCCACAGGGCCCTGGGAAGCACCCCCTGGCCTGCCCCAGAGGGACCATTCACCCAGGGAGCTTGTAGCCAGGGCTGCTGCAACAAACAGCTGAGCAAGCCTTTGGGAGGAGAGGGCATCAAGAGGAAGAGAGGGAAGGGAAGAGGGACAGAGGCCAGGGTTGCCCCCAGCACCCCTGACCATCATTCAAGGCACCCCACAGCACACTGGTTGAAAACCATTGACATACACACTTCAACTGCTAACCAGAGCAAAGTTTGTTAGCTTTAATATTGAAGCCCAAGTTTATTGATTTCTCTGACAATAGGTCTCCCCCTACTTTCAAATGTCAAGACATGGATACATAATTCAACTTCCGGGTTAGCGCGATT